CGCAGTTCATATATGAATTATTTCATATAAACTCCACATTAAGTGTTTTGTTACACCTCCCAACCAAAAAACAGAAAAAAACATTTGCTTGACACCAGCTGGCACAACAAATTTGCCACGGTTTCAAGGTGAACAACCTGATCATGTGCAAGTCAAAAGTTCAAGTTGGTGTTTCCCTAGGGAGTTAGTGAGTTTTGACCCATGACACATGACAAATAGCTTTAGCCAAGCTTTAAAGAGGGGCTCCCATCAACTTATCATTTACTTGAATAAAGACATTCACAGACAAGCATTTCACTACACGAATGAACTGAACAAATTAAATGTCGAGGAAATCTCTATAAACACAATATGAAAGCACCATTTCCAAGAATCAAATACACAATTCCATTCACTTTTAAAGCATAAAATTCTCAATGAAAAATGGCCGAATGAAAGAAATGTCAAAGAAACTTTGTTTAGGAATTCCAGGGGAGTGGGGGGGGCGNCCAGGGGGGGGGGGGGGGGGGGGGGGTGTCAAACGAAAAACCTTCTGTAAAATGGTATGAGGGGTATCGAGATTTTGTAGAACAACACAATAGACCACATTCAGATTCTCGGTATTTGACTGGAACTAGCTTGCAATGGAGGCCCCTGTTGGGGAATTTCATTAAAAATTATGTCATTTGCATTTGAAAAGATTCCCCAGGTTAACCTCAGTTGCAAGCTAGTTCCAATCCAATACCTGGAATGCACATATGGCCTATTTAGGGGATATCAGATAAAACAATACTAGCCTGCTGATGGCTGAATCATATTAGAGCTGTATACCATTACCACTCATAAATTCAAAAGAATAAATATATTAAGCTCAGGGTTAAAACCTTTGTCGTAACTCACCAATAATCTTATTCCCAGCCAACTGCCAAACATGGAATTCATGAACGCTCAACACGCCTTCCACATTGTCAAGCAAACGATCCTGTACTTCCTTGATCTTGATGTGTGTAGGGACAGTCTGGAGCAAGATCAGCGATGACTCGCGCATCAGCGGAATGGATGTCTTCAGTATAAGAAGAACCATGAATATGCTCATGCCTGGATCAACATAAATAGTCCACTTGCCTGATGCAAACTTGATGATCACAGCGCTGATGATGACGATAACAGATCCCAGGGCATCGCCAAGTACATGGAGATACACACCTCGCATGTTCAGCTGCGCACTAGACTTGACCTTCAAGCGAGATGGACTGGATTTGGAAACAACTGTTCGTACTTTCCCATTTTCACCCGACAGCAAAACTGTGAAACAAAATATAACATAATCAGTAAGAAGTCTAGATTTAACAACTACATACAGTCTGTAAATGAATATACTGTGAAGCAATAAAAATTCTGAAATCTGAAATCTTAATAACATAATGTAAAAAGAGTTTTTTCCCTCAAATTTCTTTTCTCAGTGATCAACTCCTTAAACATTTGTTCAGTCTGATTCACATATGGGAAAACTTTGGAAAAAGTTCCCTGCATTGTATCCACTTCATCTTATTATCCATTAGCAATCAATGATACTTCACATGGTAGTCCAGTTCCTATTTTTATTAGGTACTATCAATTCAAAAGAAAAAAGGATAAACTTATAAAAGTGGTTTCAAGTATCTAACAAATTTTGTCTACCTTTGCTAATCTTCTGGAAAGACCTAGTCTGCACTGTTCCAGAAAATATTCATCAATACCCCTAACAGTGAGAATATTTTTTCTTTAAAATTTCCCCTCATTTCCTCTGGAAATTCCAGAATAACTTCATACTCTACTCAAATTCAAGAGAATAGCTTTTGAGAATTCCCAGTAACTCTATTTGCAGTAGGTATGAATATTTTCTGCAAACAGGTTTAATTGCCTTGTTTTTTCACTCACACTGTAAACAAAATAAATTTGAAATACAGATAAAAATCCCTTAAAGAACATACATGTAAATTATATCACAGCGCTGTTACTACTAATAATAATTTTAAACTTCAAATCTGAAATTATGAATTGGATGGATCTGATCAAATGTCAAGGAGAGATTTAGGGAATATTTTGCACTAGAAGTTGCACTTGAGTTATTGTTTGGCCTGTATTTATTACTGCATAACCCTGACAACCCTGCAATTACAGATGGTTTTTCACAAGTTGCAAATTGCACCCATGTGGACAATATATTGTCCTAAAAATGAAACAAAGAGCAGCGTATTTTTAAGTCAAGGTTATTGTATATAATGCAACGCAAGTAGATCATATTCTATGCTTGTCTACCTAGAAACAATAAATTATGCGACAAAAGATATATCAGGTTTACAAGCACTTGACCGTCCAGCAGATGTGAAGAGCGAAAATTTCTTGAGTAAATAAAAAAAGCTGATGAATTTTAGGAATTTCTTTACAAGGAAAAATTTCAAAATCTTGGCTTACCTTCGGGCACGACACCATTTGGAGTTTCACTATTCATTTCACTTTCATCTTCAGACGACTGATTTGACTTCCTGGAGCCCTGACCGCCATTTCCTTCGCCATTTTGAGCTTGAAGCAGTTCTTTCAAATCCGCTCCATTTGAACTTCCATGACTGTGGCCATGTCCACTGCCTCCATGGCTGTGTCCATGGCCGTGTCGATGGAAAAGAACCAAGCCGATCACATTCACGAGCAAGCCGACCACTCCGACAATAAGCACAAGTATTGGGTTATTTATGACCTCGGTCTCTGCAATCCGCTTCAGTGATTCCACCAGTATGGAAAAGCACAACGCAATTAAGAACACTGCGTTTACCAACGCTCCTAAAACTTCAGCTCTTTGCCAGCCAAAAGTGTTTCTTTCTGTCCGCTGGTTGCGTTTTGAGTACCGTAAAGCGAAGAACCCGATCAGCAATGACATGATGTCGGAGAGCATGTGAAATGAATCGGCTACAAGCGCCATCGAATTTGTGGCGTAACCGACAACAATTTCGACAAGGAAGAAAGACGAAGTCATAAACAACATCGATAAAACGCTCCCGGTCTTGCCACAGAATCTCTTTCTAAGTTGAATCGTTCTTGAAGCGGCCATTTCTTTAGTAAGCTTATTTTCTTTTCCTACAAGGACTAGATAAGAAAATCAAGGAAAAAAATTACAACCTTTCACGACTAAAACGCGGTTAGCAAATGACGAAACGTGCTTTAATAAGACTAAATATTTCTGGGAAAGGAAATTCTGCGATATTTATATTGGTTGAAACCAGCTGTAATGTCTTATTTTTGAAAATTTTGAGTGCATGTCACGCGGACAAACGAAAATAGCGACACGCGCTGTGCCATATGTTCCATCAGGGGTTTTTTTCACTACTGTATAACACAGATAAATGCGGTACCATTGTTACCACTAACAGTCACAAATAACAAGCAAAAGACTACAATAAATACCTGCATGGAATATATAACAACCGATGTACGAGCCGAGCACCTCAAAGCCAACACAAAACAACAACAATGCAAATTTTTCTCTGTCCGTTTCCTCGCTTCCGTTCTGAGCCCGCGCTAAAAATCGCAGCGTTTCAACTCTCGTATACTCGCTGGCACTCGTACTATGTTTTGATTGGTTTCTAAAATATCGGATACTCTTCCGATAACTACCGAAAGGGACAGCAATGAATGTTTCAGCGGTTATTATGTACATCGTGTAATTTAGTACAATGGTGTGCAATGGGTCGTACAATGGGCCGGGGAGATTCAGCCCAAACAACTCGTCTTCTCTTAATTTTCCTTCTTGTCAATATTTCTCCCTTTATATCTGGATCTAACGTTCAAGGCGATTGCTCGAAAGATGGTTCATGCGAAGAAAAACATGGTAAAGAAAAGTACATCGCGAAAGGTACTTTATAAACTAATCAATGTTGTGGAGAGTTCTGTTACATCTATCATTCTTAATGAGTTTAATTAAGCGGTAATTAACACTGAGTCGGAAGAATCGCAGCAAATGTTTTAAACCCCAACGTACGAGTGATTTAAATCCTACATTAAATTCTGTATTAGTAGGGGAAACACCTTCGATACAACTCTGTTAATTTATTTTAAGTCATTGGTTTCGCGTAACTGGGAATTTCTCTCAATCACCGCGGTGACGTGGTAAATTTTAACTTGAGCGAGTCATGAAGGTCCATTGTTTAGTTTTGGGACTTCAAGATCGATTTTAATACGTTTACAGGTCTTGACTCTGAAAATATTTTATGCCATGTTATGAAGTTTATCTCAGTTTTCAACAAGTGCAGGCCATTAGTGGAGTTTTGACTGTAAATTAAAGACTTTGGCTATTAATGTTCAGTAATTGGAAAAACACCTTATCATTCTGGTTTTGGCTCTTACATGGTGTAGAAGACAAAAGGACAAAAGAACGAGGAAAACAGTAAAAACAAAAGGTTTATGAGGCGGCATTCTATTGTGACGTGCCTTATGTCTTCTAGACCAAGAAGGAAGCTGGATTTTTAAATGGTACTTTCCTGGTAGAACCCTTACAGCTCTCTATTTTAGAGATATCGAAGCAGATGCACTAAAGCTACACTTTATTGGATTCACACACGATCAGTTTATTAAACATTTATTGTGCAACCTCATTATGTGTGGGCCTGATTCTGCTGTTATTTCCAAGATTGCATTGTTTCAGTTCAAAAAATATTGGTCCATAAAAATTACCTTTATTTGTCAAAATTCTTATTTCCCTTCAAGGAAGGTGTTTGTTAAACTTGTCTAAGAGTGCTAGCCCTAGATATAAGTGTGGTCCCATAGTTTTACTCAGAAAGTATAAATCTGAGCAACTAATCACCCTCAGCTAGGCCCTGAGCAAAAGTTGGTTTGTAATTTAAACCCAATTGGATCTCAATCTCAAATGTGATAAAAGAACAGGCTGGTGTTTTCTCATTGCTTCTTATTTTTTTTCTTTTACTCCTTAGAATCATGGAAAAAATATCTTCACAAAATAGATAAGGCTACTGCCAACTACCAAGACTGTTCAAACAAAAAATGTGCGTGCTATAGTGATGTAATAGATGATGACTTAAGAATATGGAAAGAGAGAGGAGGGATAAAGAAAAGTGACTTTGATAATACTGATGGCCGTGGAGTCCACTATCAAATCATTAATCATAAACTGTACAGAGAGAATAACTGTATGTTTCCATTCAGGTTAGTTTAGTGACTTGGTAGGTGTTCACTTACAGAATATATAAATTTTACAGTTTCAGAAAATCTCTATACTTACCCCATGGATTGGAAGGTCATTGAAAATTCCAATGTGTTGAGGGTTAAGGCGAATGACAGGTTTTTGCAAATCAGCAAATAAAGAGTCTCTGCCTGTGTACAATATACCATTTGAAATCCAATAATCAGCTTATTTGTTATTGACATCAGCAGCTATGAAAGAGATAGTCATTTTGTCAGAGAGAAATTGCTTTAAAATGTGAAGCTGAAAAACTTCTAGCATGTATCAACTCTCAAATATCACAGATATCGTATACTCCTAAACTATTGCTTATTTAGCAGGTTCTAGTGCAAAGCTGATGTGAAACATGTCTTGCATTCCATGTGCATCTCAGATATAAATTAGAAACTTGTCAGGGTGGTCAACCATGTCTTTATAGATAGGAGGGGGTCTCAATTTGTTTACTTCGATGAGCAGATTTTTGTGGCAAAAATGCATAGAAATCCCTCAAATATACACAAAGTCATGATTTTGTGTGCCAATTGGCACTCTTAGGGAGAAAAGGGTTGGAAAGTATGAAGCTAAACAGAAATTTCTTGAGGGGTGGAGAGGGCTTCAGACCAAAAAATATTCAATGTGGAGGACACAGATATTTTCTGAAACGGCACAAAATGACTTTTTACAAGTCAAACAGCTTTGCCTTATTCCCCCCTCCTCTCTCACTAAATATTCCCATAGTATCCCCCGCCCCCTGTTTCCTCCTGCTGGGGTTTCAGCCCCGTTAAGGGTTACTACATGTTAGTACACTTGGGATGTCTGATTTCAGTGATGCTAATTAATTTTTTTGAAAATTTTTTCAAGATGTAAAGGAGTAGAGCATTTTATCCTAGAGATAATTGACAAGTTACCAGACATGGAAATGAGGATCAACGTCAGAGACTATCCACAGGTAATCACCTAATTTAAAAAAAAATGCTTAATATATAACTTTCTAAACTCATGCAAGACCAGAGAAGCTACTAGTTTGTAACAATTATATCTTCTACAGGCAATTCTGTGATTATGGTGGTGCATAGATCTAAGCGGTATCTTCTGAGTGGTGGCTCAATTCTCTATATTCTCATGTCCTGGGCTCTCCTTATTCTCCCCAGACCCCCAGGTTACAGGTTAGCTCAGAAATGGATTCTAGCCTACTAGCTACTTCCTTGACTTAAATCAAAGAGGAAGATATATTAAGTCCTAGAAATGGCAAGCATTCTTAGAAGTTTAAACTTTGGTGAAAGTTTATTTTTGCCTAAACAGATTCCCAAGTGGTCAAACCCTCTGCCTGTTTTCTCATTCAGTAAGGTAAGAAACATTCATTCATAACTTTTCCTGCCTTTGTCTATTCAAAGTGCAATAAGCTGGCACCATTGCAGTTCTCCAGATGAGAAAGGGTTCTCAGGTTTAAAAACAAAAACAAAAACAAAAAGCAAAACTAAAGGTCAGCTACCTCGCTTGCCTCCCATAGCAACTATAGAGCACAAGCAATTTCTGATCTCTGACAAATGAATCTTAATTGCGGTTTGCAAGGCTCATTTCTATTAACTTGCAGGAATTCCTTACTGATACCTGATTTTTAAAACTGATCTGGCATTGTGCCATTGGCCAATGTCCTAACTTTGTTCGAATGAATATACAAGAAGTGGGGGTTGGACTATGACAGCAGTGGGGGAAAGGGGTACAATGATAAAGCACACTAGTGACGTAATTTTGCTTTGTTTCTTTAAGACAGGTAATGAGTATGACATCATGTACCCAGCGTGGACATTCTGGGAAGGGGGGCCAGCAGTGTGGCCAATTTACCCCACAGGACTGGGGAGATGGGATCTGATGAGGGATGAGATTGAAAAGTGAGTTCTCACAACGTAAATTATAATGTAAATTTCAATTTAATTAAGATTAGTATATTGACAGCTCTATTGTAAAATGTGGTTGCTTATTTTCTACAGAAAAGCTAAGGAATGGCCGTGGAAGAAAAAACAGACCAAGGCATTTTTCAGGGGATCTAGGTTAGTTTATTAGCAAAAATCAATTTTTTTGGAATATCAGTATTTTTTGATATGTCTCAAATTTTCTAAAAAGTTTCAGACATCTTGTCAGAATACCGAACTCCAAAAAATACTTTAAAGGACTGGCTATCTAAGCTTTGTCGAGGTGCAGTGGCCTCGTTGNGTTGCAAAGCACGAAAGAAGCGTAAGAGTGCTTCTTGAGTGCTTAGCAAACCTGCCAAGTGCATCCATAAATCAATAGTTTACAGCTGTGGCGTTTAACATTTGTTTTATAACATAACATTGACACATTTGGAGCAAAAGAAGTCCATTTATTGAGCTACATCACATTAGCACACACACATCAGCAGTGTAGACCCATGGGCAAATAGTAGACGATGAATTAACCAATCAGAGCACGTGCTTTGCTTTAGTTATGTTATAATCCATTTTAAGTGGTATCTTTTAGGGGTCAAATCTCGAGATTTATTCGCCAAGATTGGTCTTCTTTAGGGGTTTAATTCAAATTTGCCGACGAGCATCCCCGACCTTTTCATATGGGAGTCTCCACCACCACGCCCCCACACCCCACCACCACCACCCCCGGGCAAGGGAGTCTGCGTCTTTTCATGATAAGTTTTGTTGTATGTAGATTTAAATATCAGTGTTGGTAGTAACCCTACCGTTCCTTCTTCCAGAATGTCACTAAAAGGTCACTTCACTGATTCAAGCAAGCATTCATTTTTCACCCGTTGTGTTGCAGATACCTGTTCAACTTCCGTGGAGTAGCAGCCAGTTTTAGATTCAAACATCTATTCCTGTGCAAATCATTGGTGTTTCACGTCGGAGATGAGTGGCTTGAGTTTTTCTATCGAGCACTTAAGCCATGGGTTCACTATATACCAGTTGAAACTGATCTTAAGAACGTTAGGTAAGTTTAAATCAAAATGTTGAACCATTGGTAGCATGTTTGGGATAAA